CATGATATATTATATCCGTCTTACTTTGGATCATTTTCTTAGCAAGACTTCCAACATCTTTTAATGAGGTGAACAGATCATCAGATCGCATATCCATGATATAAGTATCCAATTGATTTTCAAAAATTGCCTGATCAAGAAGACTAAAATCAGTTGGATAAAATTGTGTCATTCGAATCAACTTATCTTTGTTGAATGCATGAAATCCATTATTAGGATTCAAACATGCCATGCACAACAGCATTTTTATATTTAATTCTATAAACCGATTGTTCAACTCTTGAAGCTGCATATCAAGCACTGTGTAAAAAATTTCAACCAAAAAATGATATAAATTTGTTATATTTTGATCTCTATGATGTGGCGGACCACGAGAAACCCATTTGTCAACCATATGTGGAACATTAGATTTTTGTTGCTCACAGAATGAGGTTACATTACTGATGAAGTCAGTCCACTTGTTATCTCTCATATCCTGCAGTCTTTTTTTACATATACGCACCAAAGACATAACATTAATAATATCTTGTTATCCTCTATGTAAAGCTTGTGATAATTCTTTAGTGATGCCAAGAACATCTTTCATAAGATGTAGGCAAAAGGTAAATACTACGGGTTAACACGCGATTACAGTCAGATTTTTCGGCGGAAAATTCTGGACGGTAATAAACGGCGCAGGCACCAGCGGAATTGTTTGATGAAAAGTTTGCGTCAACATTTCCGGCGCAAAATACGCCGTAAATTTACCGACGCCGGTTCCACCTGCCAATCCGACGGTATAGGGCTGTCTGAACCATTTCTGTCACACGTTACGGCGGAATAATTCCGACGTACGTTACCGGCGGACATTGCACCGGCGTATTTAAACTCAACAAAATATAACCGACGGATGTGACGTCAGAAATTATACCGACGTCACTTACGTCGAAACCGGCGGAACTTCCGCCGGTAAAAGCCCTATTTACCAAAATCGAACCCCTCTGGCAGTCATTCGTTTCCTTTCATTCTCTCACTTTGACTGCTTCGCCCGTCGCCGTTCGTCGCTCGCCTTGGTTAGACGTCGCCAACGGTCACCGGACTTCGCCAAGCCTCATTCCTAGTCGCACGCCGCCGAGGAGGGTACCGAAGGTATTTGTTTTCAATTTTTTTTCCTATTTCGGTTGGATTACATATAGGATTAGCCTTAAGTCCATATTGTTTTTCTATAGTCATGGTTGTTATCACTAGACATTTGCTAGATGATGTACTTTGGTGCATGCTTTTTGTTGATGATATTATTCTTGTTGATAAGATTATAGAGGGATTTGAAGGTAAATTTGATTATGGAGATCAACATTAGTCTATTTTTTTTTTGTGCTTAGTCATGGTTGTTATTACTAGACATTTGCTAGAGGATGTACCTTGGTGCATGCTTTTTGTTGATGATATTGTTCTTATTGATAAGACTAGAGAGGGAGTTGAAGGTAAACTTGGATTATGGATATCAACATTACTCCATATCTTTTTGCTTTAGTGGTTA